TGGGGGCTGCGGCCATAGCTGGCCGATGGGAGCAGCGATTGCGGAGGTACCCGGCCTATGCTTGGGGACGTCGATAGCTGGAAAGCGTGCAGTCAGGAGAGCGAGAAGAGGTAACGGCAGCAGGGAACTCCCATTTCCCAGCCAACTACTGCCCAAGGATGGGAACACGTCCCTGACCCCTGGCACTTTCACGCGATCTCATACAAGACTCTGCTTGCAGAAAAGCAGCCTCTTACTGAAGTTCATTCTCCAGTATGAGCAAAGGCAGTTTTTCAGAAGACTTGCTGATCAGAAGAGACTTCACTTGCATTTAGCAGAAAAGGCCCTTCCCTCTGGACCGGGTGTCCGGGGCCCACCCCAAGGAGCACCCGCTCCAGCCAGCCCCGCTCGCCCGCCTCTCCAAGGGCTCCTGCTGCAGGTTGGGAAGAGGAAGCCTCCAAACCCAGGTCAGTCCCAGCCTTCATGAGGAGGTTAACCTTTTGAGTAAAGTTTTCCCTACTCTTCGTAGAAATACGCTTACACATTTTTTGAGTTTTGGGGGGGTTGGTTGTTTTGGTTTGGGTTTTTTTTACATGAACATGAGAATGTGCTTGTAGTTTCCATAAAGTACAGGTTCACACCTGCCACAATGTATCTGTTATCCACTTTACTGGAATTATTTTCCCCACACAACTTGGAAATACATGGGGCACGTGCCAGTAACGCATCCCCTTGCCCTGCCGCCGAGGTAACTTCTCTGATGGATGAAAAGCTGAGCAGGTACCAGAGCTCAGCGCTTATATACAATAACAGAAGTCAGTTTATTTCAGAATGGCTTGAATGATCTTACCGCCCTCTACAACTGCCTGACGGGAGGCTGTAGCGAGGTGGGGGTTGGCCTCTTCTCCCAGGTAACAGGCGATAAGATGAGGGGAAATGGCCTCAAGTTGTGCCAGGGCAGGTTTAGGTTGGACATTGGGAAAAATTCCTTCCCCGAAAGGGCTGTCAGGCACTGGAACGGGCTGCCCAGGGAAGAGGTTGAGTCCCCATCCCTGGGGGGATTTAAAAGCCGGGCAGATGAGGTGCTTAGGGACAGGGATGGCAGGGTCAGGTTAACGGTTGGACTTGATGGTCTTAAAGGTCTTTTCCAACTTAAACGATTCTGTGACTCTATGAAAGCAGCATTTGGTTACATCTCAGCCCTGCCAACAGAAAACCATTTCTTGCAATGGAGAAAGTCTCATTTCTCCCTGAAAGTAGCTGTGATGCCAGTCAGCATTTCCAGACCAGCTGTTTACTGCAGACACCTTACCGACAGGTTATTTGTGACACCAGCTCTTTCCACTGTGACCATAAAGGAAAATAGATTTTTTTTATCATAAAAAAATACACACGAGCTTAACACAGATTCATCACAGCTGAGCTTAAAGGCTCACTCTTCAAATCTTTATAAACAATTCCTGGAGAAAAATGGGAAGTTAAATATTTAAGTATCAGCCAATCCATCCCAGGGGACATCTTCCCCTACCTGCCTGCACAGCCTGGCAGCTCAGTCAAGCCCCTGCCGCTGTGGCCCAGGCATGAAGATGCCAAATACTCCACTTTGTGCTGCAAGAGTTCAGCAGAAAAATGTAATAAGCACCTTCTACCTGAGAAGGGACTTCACCCAAGAGCACTGCTGCTTCCAGCCTTGCGAAGCTGCAGTCACAGGCTCAGGAAAGTAATTTCTCGCTGGTTTAAAATTCACTGGAGAGAAAAAAAAAAAAAAAAGAAATCTGAGAGGCTTAGGTTCAGAGACTTCCTAGTTTAATGCTTAACATCAGCATTGTATTCCTCTTGTCATTTAGGTTTTTGTCATTTACAGAGCAAATACTGTACCACCAAAGTCTGAAGTTTCATTACCGGCTTCATTCACAGTGAACTGGATAATTCTTTAAGGGGATTTAAATACAACTACTCGAATTAGGGTATATTTTTGTTTGAAAACAGTAACTAAATAACTTTGGTTTCACAAGCTTTGAAGAAGGTATCTAGAACTGTTCGTAGGGAATACGCCTTTACATTAATGTCGATGGCGATCAGAAGCCTGAGATAATTATTTACTTCTCTTAAATCCACCAAGAACCAAACGCATCAACTCAGAAACCTGGGGGGCGAGGGGGTCTATCTGTCACCTTTGCATAAAGGCCAAGACACCTTTGTTTACCTGTAATTTAAAGATAACAGCATAGGATTCTCACCCTTGAGCTTCACCAAACTGAGCTAGACTTGACAAAATACCTCTGACATTTCTTCTCTTGGAAGTAGCTGTAACCACCACCACATCCAGCCCACAGCTGCACTGGGCAGTGTTTTCCAGCATGCCAGCTCCCAGACAGGACAGCGGAACAGCTGCTGATGTAAAATTGGAAAAGCAAACATTTCCTCCCTGTCTGTGCTCACCCTCCTCATCTCTCTGCCCTTTCCAAACAGATCCAAGCCTCTACCAGCTCCCCAACCCTCCTCCCCAGCCACCCAAAACCAAGAACCACAAGCGAACAAGTAAACTGACATAATCTTTTTCTTAATTTATAGATATCACTACCATGGTGTTTTCATTCCTGGGGTATAAGCAATGGGGGAGATGTCTCAGACCCTGGCGTTAGGGAATGCACAAACTAAATAGGTATCCAGGCAAGACAGGGAGAAGCCAATGCCGAGTTTCAGCTAATGCTGGAATAAGATAACCCCCAAATGACACCAGGCATCCAGAAGTTGTCTACTGTACGCATGGACAAATTGTTTTCAGAATTAGACAAAAACGAAGATGAAATAATTAAAAAAAAAAAAAAGCTCCAGAGACCACTGGAATAGAGGCAATGTATTTTGCATTACTGAAAGAATAAAGTCAGTTCATCCCTACAGACAAATTCCAATCACGTTTGGCAACCATCGATTGAAGAGGCCATCTGACTGCACAGTGGACCCCGGCCCAAAGCATCTCACATCTTTGGGGTGCACTAAAATGGATCCTGAAATTCATTTTTTCTTCACACTGAAGATCTTTGCAAGGCTAGCTTGAAGGCTTAAATTTCAGAGTTTCTCATGGAAATAGGAAGGCAAGAGGCCACCTATACAAGGGCCTTTAAACATCTCCCCACGAACAGAACAGCCTGGGCAATTTTTGAGCGCGGATCAGATGCTAGTTCACAGACTGAACGCAGCCCAAGGAAATAACAACTGCAAATCACGGTGACTGATGCCATTTGAAAGCAAAGCGTCCTTTGATTCGGAGGAGAGCATTTTTCCTGAGGGGAGTAAGGGGAAAAGGACAAACCTGAAATGGAAAAACCCTACACCAACCACCGAAACAACATGTCAAAGCAGCATGAGATTCCATGTGCAGGCAACAAATGGACACATTACCCGCCCCCCCCCCAGTTTCAAGCCTGCAGCAATATCCAGAACTCCTGAAAAACAGCAATGAGCCCCTGACCGGGAAACAGTAACAGCAAGAGCTGGGTCTAAAAATGCCCGGGCAAACTCAGCATTTCCGAAGGCTCCAAGAAAGGAGACTGCGCTGGAGTAAGAGTTCACTTCAAATAACAACATCAGGTCAAAGCCGCTGGAGGCACGGGCGTTTTTGACTCGCACCATGCTGAAGGCACCCGGTGCCGCGAGGGGCAAGGGTGTTCTCAGGCTCCATTAAAAGCAAGAGGCGGCTCCATGGGGAACGCCCGCGCAGGCATTCGCCACCCAACTTATGGGATGCTGCTTATGCCCGTGCCTCCTCTTGCTTCTGCTGATCTAAACCCACAGCCGGGGAAGACCTACTGCTCCGTTTCAATGTCAAAACCACTAAGCTGAAGAATTAAGAATTCAGCAGACAGTACTTTAAAAGCACTTTTTAAAGACAGTGTTTAAAAACCCAAACCCCATAAAGCTCTTTTGTGAACAACAGAACAGAAAAACAAAGGAGTATTTTAATCGACATTTTCACACGTTGAACATTTCTCCAAAATGCCAAAATTTTAAAATGAGAATCACGTCTCTGGCTGGATTTATTGCACCAGAAGAGTGGTCAAAGCTCAGCCATCCTACACATAGAAGAAGCCTCCACAAAAGTGAATAGAACTGTGAATATTCAATGTTGTCTAAACCAGGCACTGTCCCAAAATGCTGTATTCAAATGCGTACTTGACTGAGAATAAAATGTGTGGTAAAGCTAAAATAATGGAACTAGAGTCCTGAGCGAAGGTCTTTGCAGGATTTTGTTATTCTCCTTATTTGCTTTGCCTTCTGACACATTTTAAACTGACTCGCCAGGCAACTGAGCATTGAAGTCAACTCCCTCCAACCCCACCAAAAGACAAGCCCAAAAAAACCCTGAGTTCTTTGAAATCAGGTATTTTCTGCTCTCAAACAGGGGTTTTACAAGAAGTCCTTCTGAAGTTAGAGCAGGTTTCACAACGCTTTAAATTTCTCTCTGAGCGGGCTTCTGAACTGTCATTGCTGGTTATTAGTAGGCACAGAAATTCCCATTTTAATTAGAAACTTTATTTTGAAATACATTACACAGTTTACATGTGCTTTCACTGTAAGATACTTCAATAACATTGTGCTGAGCAAAACGGCTGACCAATTTCCTTGCAGCTCTTCCAGTTAAGTTTTGGTTTTATTAAAACTATCTTAGAGAGCTAAGATGCAACTTGGGCATTTGTATTCAGAGGCTAATTACTATGATTACTTTAGGGAGAATGTATATACTTAATTGTTCCAATTAACCATGTATTTCAATGACAACATTAAGCATTTGGCATAAGACTGAAAGAAACCGGAGTCCTAATTAAACTTGTATTCACCCAAGATTAAAGAAAAAAAAAATTAATCTTCATGATCAAACTACTTTTTTTGATAAGGCACAGTCAAGTATTTATAAAGACTGGCTACCAGTTCAGTTTTGCCTGCACAGCCTTCCTGCTGGTCTGTCAAAAGCTGTGTTCCCCGTCTGCTGCTGAGACTTGTCAAGAACAAGGCAGAGCAATAAGGCAACTAAAAGAACGGACATGCAAAGGAGTTTAGCTTTTGGGATGGATTCTGAGGATTTGCAAAGTAGTTCATTTTGTAAATGGAGCATTCACCTGTTGTTATTGAAACGGTGGCCAACTCTGACAGGGAAAATAGAAGTGGTGCAAGCAGTGCCTGTTTGCAAAAGGCTACTTTAATAGAAAAATCAAAATGTTTGGTGCACTTTCAGGTAAAGACTTTGCATGCAGCAATTCCCACAACTTTCAAAGATAATCCAAATTGAATTCTGAAATTCCCCTCTGCCACCCAGAAAAGCTGAATGTACCAGGAGGTTGCCTGACAGTAGGTGAAATACCAGGGAATGAAATCTCCATTTAGATAATGAGCCAGTACTGCCATCCTACTTTGCATTTCTTATCAGAACAAAAGGAAGTCTTCAGGAATGATAACAACTCAAATCATTACACCATTATTTTGGCTGGAAGAAAATTCAAGAACTCCCAAGATGTGATGATGTTTAAAGAACATGAAACAATCCTACCCACAGTCAAAGAATAAAAAATAAAAATAAGAGAAGTCTTATCTTCCCCTCCCAATTAAATCCTTGAGGAGTAATTGCTTGAGCTTAGCACTGTATGGCTTCTGTGGCCTATGAACACTCTACGAGTTCCCATTTTCAAGCTACCGTTTGTTTTCAATTTTAAGTCACTTCAAATAAAAATACTGCATCCATTTCACTTTAATAATCAAACAGCATAAAAATCATTAAAAGTATTTCTGATATAAATCTGTACCACATACTAAAAGATACTACTTTATAGGTAAATGTAAACCAAAAATAATTAGAATATACAAAAGGTTTTTAAAATTCTTTTGCACAGCTGAACTCATGGTGCCGGTTTAAGATTAAAAAAAAATAATCTGTAAATTAAGTAGTCATAACAAATGTTGAATATAAAATACATTCTAAAGTATTTTACAAAATGGCTGAATTATTGAGTATAAGAACTGAGGATAAAGGATGTTAATGACAAGCAGCCACATACAGAACACAAAGCAATAAGTTTAAATCAGACTATTTTGGTTTGTGTAGCCCTTTATTAGCAACTAAAATAGAAGATATCTGTTGTACATCACGGGTAGTAACTGACTATACTGGAGTTTTATTATATTCTAATACAGGATCATTTATAAATGCGTTGTTTTCCTTTTTTTTTTTTTCTTTTATTAAAAAGCTTCCACTCCTTTTTCTGTTTACAACTTGCAAAACTATTCTGAAAGCTGAGTACATGTGCACAGGTCTGCAAAGAGTGCAAATTTAGGATATGGTAAATGCTTTACATGTTGTATTTGTAAGGACTGTCTGCCACCATACCTTCATAGCCTTTTATCTTTTCCAAAAAAAGAACCAAAAAAAAAAAAAAAAATCAAAAAAAAAAATTTAAAAAAAAAAAAAAATCACAAAATGTTTCGATACCAGCCTTCCTTCCATTGTCCTAAACAAGAAAGCATTTTTAAATGAGTTGAAACTAAGGAAGGACTACACCTACTAGAAAAGAAGAGTTCTATTAGTTTGAGGTTTCAGTATACCCAAAGACCAGGGACTGTATCTTTGTAAGGGCTAGGCTGGGACCCCGTATACAGAGTGTGTGCAGGTGCCATCCCTGAGCATTCAGCGGTTCGGTGGACCATAAGCGCTCCAGCTGCGTAACTCACTGAGCTGTCTTGCCAGTTTCGACACTGGCTTGACTGAGCATAATTCAAAAATGAAAAGCTCATATTCATTCCATTCTTCTGGAGCTCGTTGATAGCCTGAAGAGAGGAAAAAAAGCTGCTTAAAAAAAAAAAGGTATTGGTGAAATGATGACATTTTCTACATCTCCATCCTCTCCCCTCACCCAGGGGTCCTTGCACCATCTCTCGCAATAATATAAGCACCTCTGAGTAATTTGTGGACCTAACACTTTTCTGTGCTGTTTCATTTACTGACACTCTCCCCCCTGCACTATGTACATCCATGCAGTTTCATAAAGCAATACTAAACAACCTTTCAAAACAGATCCTTTAGAAACAATGCTTTCAGTTCCATAGCAAATTTATACAGAAGCACAGATGTAACAAAAAAAACCCTTCAACACTATCGACACTTTTCAGATCGTATTTCTTCCATTAAAGAAAAAGAATGAACCAAGATAATTCATTAAAGTGTGACAACTGGCAAAAGTGAATGAACAGAATTTCGCTCAGATTCACTGCAAAACTAATCATTATCTGAGGCTAAGAGTTGGATATTTTTGCAGAGTTGTCACTGTACTGAATTTTGCTACATGCGTCCCCCAATATTGATATTGCTCATACAAACTTTTATAGACTCCAATTTACAAGGTTCCTCTATGTGTTCTCCATATAGACTACATTTCCAGTGAATTAAGTTTTCCCTTTTAAAAAGGTTAGCATGCTTCCAGTTTCAGATTTGAATTACAGTAAAAATACGGTGAGATTCATTCAAGCAATACGACAGCACTCGAGCAGTGCTGTAAAGCAGCTGTGACCCAATTTAGACAACTAAGTTAAGCCAGGTTTATGTTTGCACTGCATCACCAAAGCAGAATACGGTAACTAGAAAGTACCAGTTAATCTGAATTCTAATTGCCATTAATTTATGAGTTAACGGTGCACTGCACTAATACTTACAGAGGCAATCTCTCATCGTGTTTTCCAAACTCAAAAACGCTGCCAAACATTAAAAGGCACTCACAATAGCTAGCTAACAGCAATACAGAAAAAATATCTACGTGTTGGTAAGTACTGATTCAAAAGAGTAAGTACTTACTTCTTAAGGGAGATGGATTTATTTGTTTATTTAGGGCCAAAAGAAAGTGAATGATTGTATTTCATTGAAATTCAAAACGAACATGGCACCTCATCTCCCTTAGGGAACTGAAAACCTTCAGCCCTTGTAAAAGCATACATTTGTCTACAGGCAAGACGTGGAAATTGGAGGCCAAGCTGAGAACACTTGGAAAAATAAATTAATTCAAGACTTGCCATTTTAGAAGTAGGGAATACTCCAGCAATATTGTATTCAAAACAAATGTAAGCATTTTGCTAAAAGTTACATTTTGCAACAAATCAAAAGTTACTTACGTTTAATAATACGCCAATAGGATGTCTTCCACATATTGTATTATGGTATTTCTTCAAGTAATTGCTAAAAGATACAGGATCTAGCTGCTCTATAATGCTCATACCCTGAAAAAGAATCGATACCAATGATTACTTCACACATTCATAAGCAGCTGTTTATACATCACCTATTTATGACAAGACAGAATGCTTCAGTATGAAAAAACCCTCTAATTTGTACCAAGGGTATCAAGGGAATCTCAGCATGTGAGCTCTAGCTTGTAGTCATCTTGTTGCCATCCTTTGCCAAACTAAAAGCGCAGGAGCTCTTCCAAAGCTGTCAGTGATCCACAGATCTGTGAAGATCTTTGCAGATGCCAGTGAAGCTCATGTTAAAAAAGCTCCTCCTGCAGACTGGCTGATCCCCACCTCCAAGGGTGCCCTACTTCCATAGGATTTTGTACAGCTACAACCAGGTAAATTCACTAAAAGAGCAAAGCAGGAAGACGTTTTGCCTCGACCACTTCTCCCTGATAACAGGGCCGAGCACTTGCCTGGGACTTCTGGATGTCCAAACCCCCTAGACAAATCATCAATATATACACATGCAATTCAAGCATGTAGCAAGTGTAATGTATCCTAGACACATCAGGCATGCAAGGCAGTTGATCTGAGCACAGGCTGACCGTCTGCTCGGAGCATAAAAAGCAGATCCAGAACACCTCTAAAGCGCTAGAAAGTTGGTGCACAACAGAAACATCAGAGCCAGGAGATGATGCTTCCACTTTACATGAGGCAGTCACACATATACAGCCTTTACTCCATCCACAGTGAGACCCATCATCCCATGGAGTCATACTATGGAAAACAAAACCTTCCACATATACAACATTTGCACTCTTAAAGAATCCTACAACTCCATACACAGCCTACTCCTACCCCACCCCACAGAGCAGATCAAATGCAAGGAAAGTAGTTTAAAGCAAGTCTAAATCAATTATTGTCTGCGTTTTATCATGGCTTTGCTGTTTTGCCTGTATTAGACTCCACCCTCTTGTGTTTTTCCTTCCTCTGAAAATCATTAATTCTCTTCACTGGGTAAATAAGCTCCAGACACTCAATAATTCAGTAAGACACATAGTTGTGCTTCTTACATGTAGCTGATGAAGGTTTTCTTCAGAGACTGGAAAAAATCACACACTTTGCATGGGAACAACGGGAGGTTCGTATCAGAAAGGGAGCGAATTTCTCCTAAGGTTTCTGCGATTGCCCCAACCCCTTCCCCTGCTTTTGGGAATGTGTGGGTGATAAAAGGAGAAATCACAATGCGGGAAGCAGTCAGTCTGTCTGAAGTCTCAACCTCAAGAGTGAAACCTCTTGAATACTCTACGAGGGTGTTGGCTCATCTGGCAGATAGGCTAATTATTCAGACTGGCTCCCAGTTTACAGTGTAGGAGCTGGAGATTTCCAACAAAGTCAGGGAGGATTAGAAAACAGCAACCACAACCACCACCTCTGTGTACTTTTCATTAAAAACAGACGTAAGATGAATTCATAGAGAGATACATTTTATGGAAAAATATTTATGGAAAAATAAAACCAAACTATGCTGACCAATTGCTGGCAAGAGCAATTCCAGGGTTATGGAGATGGTGCTTGGACCCCCGGCTGGTAATTCAGCTGTTACTCACTCCAGATCTACAGAACCTAAGTAAGTGCCAAAAAAATAAAGGTAGCTATTCTCTAACTAGCAGTGATTACACAGATTATCATTGCATTTCTAAAGTTTAAGCAGCATGTCTTTGAACCATCTGTTTACTCGTAAATTGTACATGCCAATAGACAGCTAAAGAAAGCTGAACCAAACTTAACTATATACTCAAGTGAAACTAAACATGCATAAGGCACTTACTCAGATACTGAACAGCTCATAAGAATATATTTTGTAAACCCTTCCATGACTTTATAAAAAATGAAAAATAGCTGCTCAATTGAGAGAGAGAGGCTCAGTTTATAGCTGTAAGTCACTGGAACATACTGGCCAGAGGCATTTGAGCATTTGTCTCAAATGAACGGACATGGATTTATCAGAATGCCTAGTAAGCTCATTTCAGTGCACAGTTCAGCACTGCAAAACATTTAGAGCTATGCAGTTCATCCCAGCAAACGCTAACAGAGCTCCATACATCACAGATTGGAGAGAATCCATAGGAAACAGGTATTAACACGTACCTGTAAGCATTCAGCTGTACTGAACTTTTCAATCTTTTGGATTTAAAAATTGTTGTGGCAGAGGAGCAAAGACTACCAAGCTTATTTCTCAGTCTAAAATGGTGTTGAGGAACAAAGGAAACATTTTTGTGAGGCTGGGTTTTATTTTTCTAAAAAGCAGAAGTATGAAGCTAATCATTTTCAGTATTCAAAATAACTCAGCCAGGCATGGTTCAGAACAGAGTTAAAATATATGACAAAACCCCCATGATAAAAATCCAAACCATCACACAGTTCTGCAGTTTACCATATGGTTATTATGGCACCACAAAGAAATTGCGTATCTCAGTTAACCAGACACTGTAAATGGCATCTACAATATCCTAGCATAGCAGACTTAATATGATTAAAAGCAGTTAAATTCTTAAAGATCGTCCCCATAGGACCAGGTACCTATAAGCTTACCAAAAAAAAAAAAACAAAAAACAAAAAACCCAAACCCAACAAAACCCAAACAAACCAAAAATAACTCATGGGCTAATTTTAGACTACAATAATCCTTTGGCTGGTCAAGTTTAAGTTTGCAATCAGTTACTTCAGCTGCTTCTTCACACTTAAAAAAAAATAAAATCTAAAAATAGTAGCATGCTTATAGAAGTAGAAACAAACTTGGTCTTAGCAGTAGCCAGTCCAACTACCTTTGCATGGAAGGGTCACCCCGACTAGAAGATGAACAACCAACAGGAAAATGACTGGCTGGGCACAGCAGAGAGAGCAGGGAGCTGGGCGCCCAGGCAAGAGTCATGGTCTTGCATTACGCCCAAGCTGAGGCCTTCCCAGGCTGAAGCCCCGTGGAAGGTGCTGGCACACCGCAGTGGCACTGCAGAAGCCACCAGAATTCCGTAGTCCATTACAGCCACCAGAGTAGCCACCCGTTCCATGAGCATGCACAGCTCCTGCTGGCTGTTCCTGCACAGCGCTCCTCAGTGCCTGCATTATCCTCCTCCTTCAGCATCCAGGGTAACAGAATCCTCCTCTTGAACTCAAGTGAGGCATAAGGTTTCACAAATAGATATAAAATGAGCAATCTGGCAGTGAAGATTGAAGTGAGCAGTCTGCACTTTCTGGCTAGCCATAATCAAAAAATAATTACTCTTCCATGACATCTTACAGAATACTCCCCCACTTTTACTTAAAAAGATGGTTAGGTATCAGGTTATGATACACAAACAAATTATTGCACATCAGCTGCTCAATTATAACTCTTCATTTGAGGGTTCTTTCCTAAGGAACCCCTATTAACCATGGGGCTGTTTACTCCTTTCACCGTCGCTTCACAAGGTGCACTGTGATACCCCCAGGGTAACAGAGCGGTCACATTAAGAGTTACCATGGAGAAACCGATGTCTGCCCAGCAGTATTTACTACTCTATTTTTTTTTTATGCTGGAGTCTAAGGGCTCTAGCTTAAAATCACAGCAAATAAAATTTCTCACACCGGTTACCAGGTTAGCAAATCTTCAATGCCCAAAGCGTTTAGCGTAGTTTATGCACTAGCTGGGAAAATCATCGTGCATCTGTACTTAAGGTGCAGCCTAAATAAGGAAGAGACCAATGTCCTCCACCAAGGGCACTTCTCAGGAAAAGTCATTTCATCTTAAGCCAGAATGTCTTCCTGCTTACAAAGCGCTCACCCGACTGTTTTGCTAGTTAGGGCCAATAAAACTATTGGGCCAGTAATAGCAGAGGTTAAAACCTCTGATGGTTCCAATACAGTTTTGTCTCTATCTTAATGCTATTTTCTCTGCGGAGAGGCCTGGTGGTTACAACAATACAAGCTGCTTCAGCATGCCAAATGACATTCAAAAAATTCAGTACTAAGGAAACAAGAAATAGCTGAGTGGGGCATATAAAATTGAATAAACTCCTTCCAAAAGCCAGGGAAACATGACAGGGAGATCTTTGTGGCATTGTGGATAGCGTCCCAAGTGTACCCACAATACTGCTAAAAAGAAATTTCTGAAATTCACCAAAAGCAAAACCTACTCTGTACAAAGTTTGAATACCAAGTCACATGTTTATATATGGCAAAATATAAACAGGCAAAAATCACCACAGTATACTGCTATGCAGCATGTTTAGTTTTCCAGATAAACTTAAGATTGAAAAAGTATTGTTATAGTTATTAAACCGTAGATGTAATTTTCAACGTTACAAAAAATGTAATTTCCTTTTGGCTGAATAACTACCAAAAGAAAGAGTTCGTGCAGCAATGTATTCACGAAAAGTAATTAAATGCCAAAGTCCAGCCTTTCTACAAGCCTTCACTGCAGATATTAACAAGAGGAAAGGTAATGTTTGCTAATGCACCTTAATCCGCCCTCCTGCAAAAACACTCAGAGCTGCAAATTCTGGGACTCTGTAGAAAAACACTTGACTTTATAGAGAAACCTATCAACTGACAACAAAAAATATTAAAAATGGGATAGATAGAATGAAGGCCAATTATTTACTGTTTCCATTCCAGCGACGAATAGTGGAAAAACAAAAGAGTTTAATATAGATACACAAAGCAAAAAACTCCAGAGATTTCTCCAGCAGATAGGATTTATTCCTTCAAGACATGGAAAAAAATTAACATGCCCTGAATAACAACAGTTCTCTCGTCTAACAGATTTTACAGAACTTACATAAACGATCCGAATAGTTTTAAAACAAATTTTAAGGTTACGTATTTCCAAGAGAATTACTCCTATTCTGTGTCTCAAGTATAGTCTTGAACATTAACACGATTTTTTTCATTTAAAAAGAAATCCTTGGCTCCTGTAACTGCAGAGGAAATGCATCTTAATCGGCATCATGATCTTTATGTATTTAGAATTCCTTTCAGCCGTTTTTCAAACCCAGAATGAAGTACAGTCTATCATTTTTCCCCACCACCTACTGCAGAGTAAGGGACGAGGGGGAAGAATACTCCCAAGGAAACGGTGCCTTTAGTTTTCCTGACCAGCACAATCCGCTACAGCCTTTCCTCCTCAAAATGGATGTTGCCGAAACCATTAGCATAATCACAACGCTGTTTCGATATGCAGGTATCATAGCTATCAAGCCTGAACTACCACAATACTTGATTCATAATTCTTATTGCTTCTCAAAAAGGTAAGAGGGTATGTGGACAGGAATTACATTACACTAGGGCATTTTAGGTAGGCAAACATGCATTTATTCTCATCAATTATGCTTACTAGATTACACCCGCAATATAATGTGCGCAGTCAGTCAGATGGAGGATACTAGCTAAAAACAACAGCTAAGTTCTTATTGTGGTAAACAAAGGAAAAGTATACAGTCAATAAAATAGCTATTCTATAATATTTTGTTAGAGAAACTTCTAAAGTGTTCAAAGAAATGTAATGTACAGGAGAAATTTGTTAGTTAGTTCCACCAAATCTGAAAACTTACCATTTTATCTAGGTGCTCAATGGATCTATAAATTTCTCCTTGGGATTCATCATAGTAACTGTAACGGAACCTCTGACCTTGAAACAAAAATCATGTATAAAATAAAAAAGGGAAAAATCGTAGCTAAAACACTCCCTAGTACTTACTAAATAATTGAAATTATAATATTTGTAAAGTAGTAATCTTCATTTATTTTATACTTTATAGCTGCACTGAGGAAATTCTAGGGCAATTATCAAAGTAGCAGCCCAGAAGCGAAGTAAAAAATACATGATGGGCAGCTATATTCCTAAAGAAAAACCTGCTAGGTAGAACTGACACTGCTATATCACTTACTAATTGCCTGTTATTGCCTTGGAATCCAATTCTACAAATTAAGAAGTAAAGCAACATTTCATTTCACTATCCCTCTTGACAAAGTCAACCCTGGAGTCAGGCTACTTCTGCGTGCACAATACCCACAGTAAATGAAGGTTAAAAGAAAAGGTTCAAGATAATTCAATGAACACTTCTAGATGGTTCATTAGCCACAACAGAACCCAGGTCATTCTTATATCCCTCCACCTATTCCACAATTCAAAGATGAGCAAAATATGCGCTTAATTACGTCAGTTGACCAAGGATGACAATGAAAAAAGGGAAGAAGGTCTGTTGTGTAACATAAAACGTATCTTTCTGAAGCAGTCCCCTTTCCAGCTATTATCACACTTAAAAGAAAAATAAAATGTTAAAGCAGGACAGAAGTCAAGGCTTCTGGAGTCTTTATAGCTCTGCCACCAAGATGAACTGGGATAGCTCTGGTGAATTGGCATAAATACTCCATCTGCTATCTTACCCAGCAGTAAAACGTACAAAACTTATTTCTGTCAGAGGGATGTTGCCATGTCCGGTGAATTTTTAGCTAATTAGTTTTGCAAGTTGCTTTGAGGTGCTTAAAAGAAGAGTAAAAAGAGCAAGAAACTTCAGACACTTATTTCATTGCAGCAGTGAAGAGATGCATATAAACCCATACACCTTCACCGTTTATTTCCTCTGCTACACTGAAAACACATTACCACATTAATATTTTTCATTTATTGTTCCAGATTAAAAAAAGAAAAGTCCTTTTTTAGCTTTACAAAGGCATTTACGTTTCAAAGATACATTTATCAGAAGTTAAAATGTTCAATGTTTAATAAAATACATTATTTGAAAATCACTATAAGATATTCATCATACTGTTTTAATGAAGAGATGTGAAACTTACCCCAATGGCAAAAGTCAGAAGAAACCACAAAGAGGTTACTAGGATCAGCTAGGTATTTACTGAAGAGTTTTCCAAATTCCTGCTCTTTTGACTCACTCAGTGCTCCGACCAACACAGGAATAATAGTAAACTCATCCTTATGGCTTATAAGCAAAAGAAAAGAGGTTGTAATTCAAGTAACAGCTGAAGTTTTTTCAGGGCTTGCTAACTGCAATTGCAGAATGGTTTAGAAGGGCACTATTGAATTGAACATACAGTGAATTTGATAAGGTCATACTAGGAAGTTGTTTCAGAACCTGGAACTACCTCAATTTCAGAAAACAAATCCCCCCACAAACAGTATTTATCTTTGCTGCAAAGTGAAAACACCAGGCAAACAAAAAGAAAAGACACAATGAAACCAGCAATAAAGCAAGAATGAAATTCTCCCTGTACTGATGCTGCACAAATGTTGGGTAATTTTCCAACGTATATGAAAATGCTCAAGATAGCACCCAGATGTACACTGATCCTTCCAGGGAAAATTACAAATATGATGGAAGAAAATATAAAAGATAATGATGGGGGACGGACACACACACACACACTACAAATTGACAAAAATTATCACCTTTAAAGAAAAATTATTCAAAGTACGCATCTGAAATAGCAGGTGTAAACAGAACCCTGATTTCAAAATTAGTATTAAGGCTCTGGACAAACTTAAAATACCACAGAAAACACCTATTAGTATTTGAACTTCTTTCAGAGATGCCGTGCAAAAATGAAAAAAAAAATAAAAATCAGCTATTGAGAAAGATTAATGAAAGCATATCTAATATTAACTGTATTAAGTCAATACAAACATATAAAACTTGTTTATAAGGGGTGTTCCAATTTCATCATTCAGGTGTTTGCTCTGCTCACAGTTTCTATTATGGCAACTAATACATACAGCAACAGAGGGTCTCTGACCCTCTCCTCCACAGAATTTTTACTGGGGGGGGTGTGGAGGAGTGTGGGTATTATATACCATATAATAACATCATATAGGGTATTATATACCATAAAGGGTATTATTACTTCCTACTGCACTTCACATGTAGTTCAAACATTTAAGGCATGTAATGCTCATTCTTGTAGAAGAAGTAATTAGCCCTAGTACCTTTCCATGGCTTTAGCAGTATAAGGCAAATGCATTTCAATACTGTGTTCATCTTCATCTGTCTGTAGGGACATACGTTCAAACATTCCAGTCTTCCACAATTCTCCATAAACTGAAATGAATTAAAGATTAATTTTTACTCCTTTTTTTTAAAAAAAAAAAAAAACCCACTGTAAAGCAAGCTACAGTGTATCTTTATAAGAACAAGCCCACTGTAACCAATTACTTGCCTCCAAGGGCTGTCATCATAAACAACCTGTTTTTTAAATAAATTCAGGATTAAAATTATGTTCAAGTCATTAAGATGCAGACGTATTTGATTCGGTTTACAAAATAAGCGTGTTAAATCAGTGACCTTGTCAGTATATTGCGGAAGATTTTCAGTTATAATACAAAATTTAAGTAACACAAATAAAACACATTTGAACATATGCATGCACTTCCCCAGTCACTGAATTCTTATTTTCACAAATTACACCATCATAGGTTTAAAAAAAAAAAAAAAAAAAAGAAACTGCTGATCAGCTGAGCCATTGCTGGATGTGTTATTTAATACAATTTATTATTAACAGAATCATGAAATCTAGAGACAGCAAAAACTGATTAATTAATCCACATTTATAAGTTAACTTTTCTACTCTCAAGCGCACTTGGTGGTATGCAGAGTCATGTCTACATTTTGAAAACTCTCCACTGGATGAAGAATTTGATGTAGAGCTGTGCCTCCTTCTCCACTCCATAAAGGAGTTCTAAGAAACCGAAACATTTGTTACCTAAGGGAATTTCTGCAGGCACTATGTAGAAAGCCTGAACTAACTTGCTTAATCACAGTCATGATGAAATAGCAATACATCTGCACTCATCAGCCCTTCTGAAAAAGGCACTGTATTTTTTAGGTATACCTCAAAATACATCAAAGTCAAAATATCAAATTTATCTTGAAAGACTGGTATTTCATGAACTAACAGCTTTTAAGTTCTGTAGGTACTCTGCCAGTTAAAAAAAAAAAAAGTCACATGCAATAATGCATCCAAGTAATAGCAGCTTTTTGTTCCTCTTTTAGAAATAAACCAACTAAACCACTTTTTTTTTTCCCAGACAGAATACTTCACAGAATAACGGAACAGGTGTGTAATGGGCTATTATTCAAATGTAACACTTTTAAATTTTGAGAGCCCTTTTAAAGATCAGTTGTCAAGAGGCACACACTCTTAATGGGAAAGAGATGCAAAGATTGAGAATTCTTTACTTGCAAGAGCAGGAGAGACGTTAAGGTTATGATATAGCAATGCCTGCAACCACCAGGGTCTTTCAGAAGTTAGCTTTCATTGCAGTAAAAACCGACTTATACTGGTACGCCGCTTAAAAGCAATGAAGTGCCCAACCAGAGAGTCCTCAGCACTGCAGTACCACAGTTAATACTCGAGCCTCAGCAATCTTCAAGATGTAAGCTTTATCATGCACTTACTCTTTTGGTCAATTCGGAGATCATACAGAGGTGTTCTATAAATGTCCACACTGGAAAGTGCACATCGGGAAAGGGGCACGTGATGGGAAGGCCCAAGAATGAAAATTTTTCGGCTACAACAATTAACACAAAAGCCCACAATTTAGACAACTGCAATTGTACACAGACTTGGTTTAGAGCAACAAGTTCAATAAAAACGTACAAAGCGATACTTTCTGGTGGTTACCAAGAGAGGTTTACTCTGCTGCGTCTAAGACCACAGATCAAATCCATGGCCTAGCCTTGCTCGGTATCTCAAAACCGATCGTGAGATCAGTTCGATAATGCTTCCCTTAGCCTTAAACCTCTTAAGCAGGTTACATATCAGAGGGCACTCATCAGCTAGAAATCTGTCTGACAGGGCTCATTTGGAGGCTGAACGATGTGTTACAGCCCCTTAGAACAGATTTTTGGATTCTCTCCTCGGACCAACACAACCTTCAGTTACACACCACATTCAACAACTACAGGTATGTGCCCTCAAATCAGGATTATGGGTTTATTAGCCATTCGGAGCTTTTCACTTATTTACTTGATTAGCCTTACTTCAGATTTCACCAAATTCAAATTTAAGTCATTATCACATGCTGTTTTTATCCAGCTATTCCATCAACAACATGGACTTGGACAGGCACCCGTTTGTAGCTTTAGCTGATAACGGTGAGCTTTCACACATCGTCATGATGTTATTTCATCAAGTCCGCAGTTCCTGGCTCTTGATTAGATGTTAAGGGTCTCCTGCCACAGGACTTAAAGAAAAGAAGAAAAAAAACCTATAGGAAATTCAGCTTTTCAGATTCAGGATCGTATCATCTTGCTTCTGGAAGTGAACTAACGGGGTGGGAGACGTGTAAAGATTTTTTTCTTTTTCCCCCTACATGTGGAGTGCTATAGCAAGCTATGCTGAAACCCTAAAACTTTTTACAGAGCTCATAAAACCAAAATATCCAAACGTGCAATACTTCAGCTGGAAGATGAATGGCTGGCCCGTTCTAAACATCCCATGTGGTAAAACAGCAAATGATCCAGAAAGTTCAATCAACTCCGTGTCACTGAACCTGGGGAATGCAACTTGTTCTAGAAATTTCAGAAAAACTAGTTATCTGTCACACTGTAAGTTATCTTCATTTTGTTTACAATAGTTTAGAAAGAACCAAAACCATTGCCTTTGGAGAGCATTACAACATGTTACGTCATAAGGAACTGATAGACATAGCCAGTTTTTATATTAACATTGCAAAATACATACTTTGAGTAAATACTAGAGAAGTTTTAAATTTGTGTCATTTAAATAAATGTTGCAGTCATCACAACACATAAGAATTATATTCCTTTAACCTAGAATAACTGGATTCATATTTTCAGAGGCAGGCACAGACTACAGTAGTGTGTTGGGTTTTTTTTTCTTTTTTTTTTTTTTTTAAACTGTCATGCTGTTAGAAGCACAAGTCCATTTAAAATTATTACAGTAAGTAACTTTCACTGACTTCAAATATTATATACACACACTGGTCACTTTCTCCACAGCAGAAGAGAATCCTGGTAGCATTCAGCCCATAATCCTGCACTGAAAAACCAATGCAGAATCATGATCAAATATTTTAACATATGTAAAAACCAAACAAAACCTCCCAATGAAAACAAAGCAAAAGAAACAAAGACACTCTGCAACCAGGAAAAAAAAAAAGCTTGGGCTTTTATAAAAGCAGTGGAACATCAAGCAATGAAGTAAATTAAATGTTTTTACCTGCAAAAAGAACACCTTTAACCCCTCCCTTCTAAAAAGTTACTTATGAATAGTTCTCAATAATTTTTGAAAATACTGCTTTACATTTTAATTTTCAACAATATCATATTGTTTTTTTCCTTTGTAACATCCGAACAATTTGAATATATATAATGTTAAAACAGAAGGGATGAATAAAAGACTAAAAAGAGTACAAAATTAATATCTGAGTACTTTGAGGTGTAAGAATGTAAAAAGAACATTCAGCTTCTCAGAAAATTGCAATGGCATTGCCTTACACTTTGTAAAGAAAAACTTTTATACTTACGTAATGTTAGGATCCACTTGTTTGTAAGCATGGGCTGCACAAGATCCACAATAGGTATATCCTGCATGGCTGCAAATCAAGGTGTACAAAATGTTAGCGTGTTAAATATTGTTTAACATTTTAAATATGTTGGTATTGCTACTAAATGTTCATATCTTAAATATTCTTTGCCCCCTGTGAACTAGAAATAGTAAGAGTGATCCAAAACTCCTGATACAGCTGAAGAGCACCGTTCCAGTACGAGGGATGTATTTTTTAAAAAACTATCAGTGACCATTTACTGGAAAGTTGGTAAGTAAGCCTCCAGATCAAAGCACTTTTTGTCACTCGTGAAGGATACAGGCAGGCAGGCTACACAACTGCATACTATCAGAAGCTCATGATAATGCTAAGAGTGCAGCCAGGGGACAAGGGAATAACAAGATGCTGGAGAAAGCTCTTCTAACCACGCTCTAGTAATGGAATACAATGACAGCAGAGGGGTCTGGCAAAGAGAGACTAGATGTTAACAGTAGATAAAGAAAATAAAAATGCTCTGTCGTTGCAGAAGAATACCTCAGGAAGAGAATGAATAGGCACAAGAAAAGGAGTGGAACGCAGCACAGTAGCTTTTCCTGCAGAGAACGCGACATATGCTTTATCATTTCCTATTATTCTGGCCTGGAGCCCTTCTCGACCCATGTTTCTGTGTATGCTCCAAAACCATTCATAATTATTCTGACTACTTGTTTCAAATCTTAACACCCGTTCCGTTCAAGACTGTTAAAAACAGAAGATTCAGTTTACAGTGCTAAAAGCATTAATTCCAGAGAACGTTCATTCCTCAGGGTCCCAAGGCCAAGTGGTGGAGAACAGCTCATGGTCACTCAGCAGCACGTCCACAGCAGAAGGCTATGTCCACACTGCACAGCACTTGGGCCACATTGTTTCTGGAGCACCTGTGACCCTAGTTTAGGTTAGATATTAGGAAAAATGTTTTCAATGAAAGGGTTGTCAAACATTGGAATGAGCTGCCCAGGGAAGTGGTCAAGTCCCCATCCCTGGAGGTATTTAAAAGACGGGCAGACGAGGTGCTTAGGGACATGCTTTAGTGGTGGGATGGCAGGGTTAGGTCAATGGTTGGACTTGATGATCTTAAAGGTCTTTTCCAACCTAAACGATTCTATGATTCTATGATTTTGAGTCAAGTATGTGCAACAACACAACTAAAGCTTTTCAGATGGTCTTTTTACACAATGACACTGAGAATGAGACGTACTCCAAGTCCTGGGACATATAGGATATTTGAAGATACAAGCTCCCCATTGACAGCATTGGAGGATTTTATATTTATTCATATGTATGTATGCATAAATGCATGTATACACACCCACAGAACGACACATCCAGCAAGTTACCCTGAAAATTACCCTGGGGTTTTACTTCAGTGTCACTTACTCATTCTGAAGAGCTCAGAAAGGCACTGACATACACATGCTAAGGGGATAAACAGGAGACTGACACTTTGCGAACCAGCACGGTATGCTATGATAATGTCAACAGAGCCTTCTGAAAGGTTCCCTCTGCTACAAGCTTTTTCAGTCTTTTGTAAAAATATTAGCCATATCCCACTTTATGGGGGGGGAAAACAAAGGCACAGTTAATGAAACAATTTGGTAAGACCATGGGACCTTTTTCCAGCGGTTCTGGAAAAATAACCCAGGTTACCTAATCTGCAGCTGAAAGGCCTTTGTCCAGACATTCCTGCAAGAAACACTAAGGCAGATTTGGGACAATTTCTTCTGCACATTCAATACTATTATGGAATACTTCAAACATCATGTCAACGCTATGTCAGTACAGGAAAAACATAATTTTTAAGGTGCTTTTTCTAGCATTTCCTTCCAACTCACAATAAATTGGAATGACCCAACATACTTTTCTTATTATATGCCTTGACCATCTTCAGTAAATTGAATTTTACCTAAATAGTTTAGATGACCCCTGTTTCTCCTGTGGACAAAAATACCCAAACAGAACCAAACTAAAATAACAAAAGTAAACCATTATGAATAGCTGAACAGTGTTTCATTACTTTTGTTTTAAGCTTTGCCAAACTTTGATTTGGAGGCGATGTTGATGTTTTGTTGGGGTTTGGGTTTTTTTTAATATGCATAGCTGTTACATACTACAAGTGAGCTTGAAGAGTTGTCATCTTTAGACTACCACTCCACTAATACACTTCTTATCTGTCTTACTGGATCACAAGGGCATGTTATATCTTCAGTCCATCAGTGAAAGGAAACTAATCATATATCAAAATGTGTACGGATTTCTTCCATTTCATGCCATATCCAGAATACTTATTTAGGAACCATGACATTTTTTTCAGCTAAAAGTTAGCTTTCACCAGTTTTCAAAATCACTCAAAATAAAGAAGCATTTAACTGATTGAGTATTATATATACTAAAACCAGATTTCAAACTTACGGTGCAATAATGGCTCTAGCAGGTCTCTTTGTGGACTGTACTTGAGAAAGCCAACCTTCTAGTTGTGCATTCAGCTGGGGTCCTATGAAGAGACAAGGAAATACTTAAGCCATAAAGGAATCTAAAATACCTCAAGAATTAACAAATAAAGTCCAAAGTCCAATAGATTTAAAATCACCTTAAAAATCAAAGCATGTATTTAAATCTCAAAAGAAAAAAAAAAAGTAAACCCAACACGCCTGTAAAGTTGAAGGTTACAGTAGGAAAGTTTCAACCTCCCAGTCCAGGAAATTCATTTATTGTACATCCAAACACACAGTTACTGTTTCTTGCCCTGTGGACTGATGCACATACCGTTTCATCACTAGAAAGGATGGTTGCTGATCTCAAAAGGGAGGCTAACAGATGATCGATTCTTCTGGTAATCATATTTGCAGAATTCAGAAGTAAAAAGTTAAGATGACCTACACCAAGAAAGCCCGATATGGGAAGATGATATACTACACAGACCTTACATACTGACATGATAGCCAATGGCTCTGGTATTTAGTCCTTTATTATTATCAAGCAAGCACAAAAGCAGAACACAAAGCACACTATAACTGGAAAAACTGCAAATACACAGGAAAAAGCTTAAAGTGAGAAGACACCATGTTTGTACTCATGCCTTAACAACTTCCATTCCATCAACAGATACTATAAGTACTTAAATTTCTTGGCAACAATAATTTTGATAATCGGCCAATCCAATATTTGATTATTTTTTTTTTTTACTAAATCCTGTACCTCAACAAGTGGCAAATATTCTCAGTTGAATTAGCTGACAGGTGATAAAAATGCCTTCTAGAAATACAACATTAAAAAAAAAAAACCCAACATTTTGGTTACTTCCCATCACAAAGAAAACTTTTTGATGTAAAGCTATTCCTGAAGAAGCAAGTCTGCCAAATACAGTGCAACGTTCTTTGTATTAAAGAACACAAACCCAACTTCCAAGTAGGATTCATTCAGCTGCTATTGTTAAGAGTAACATATCATTAACAAAGACAAAAATAGATGCAGTTTTTTCAGTTGACACTATGTTTTTGATAGAACTGTGTGTCAGCAGAGTTTATCCCTAAAGTATGGTGCAGTAAACTGCATTTCTTCTACCAGGCACATTGTAGATTTTTGTGTCTTCCCCATGCAGGTGTAAAATACCAACAGCCAGAAAAAGTCAAACCCAAATGAAATACCTGAAACTATTTCACAGCTACGTATCAAACAGCCCAGACCTCAAGCTGACAGCTCTCCAAAGAGCTGACAAGAACTACAGAGAATGGGAGTAAAGATGTCAGCTTTTGCAGAATCCAATCAGTCACTCACCAACGACAGCCAAAAAGCTTTCTCTAGAAAACCCAGGGGGGGTGTTGACAAAGCCAATGGTTTTTATACAAAACTTAAGTTCACGTGTTTCATGAAAAAAAGGATGACTTCTGTGGTTGCAAAGAACCCTACCGTCTTACACGAAGAAGGTGAACTAGTGCAACGCCCTTTCCCTAAGCCTACAATCACCTTGAATGCCTTAGTTGCTGTCTACATCACTGCTGTAATACAGTGAGTTTGTGAAATGATGAAATTGTCCAAAAAAACCCAAACACACATCAATTTGGTTCTGCTGATTCTGTTGCTTAGGGAAATTACAAGCAGCAGAGACATGCAATAGAGATAAGGATAATGACATCCTAGAAAATGGAGGCTGTTGGGGAAGCTAAGTAAAAATAAATAGATCTCTCTTTCCATCCTCTTTCTAAGCTATTAGGAGACTAACAAAACAGTATTCTATTACAGTCTTAACTGCTTTTATTTTTATACACTTAAGAGCAAAGACATAAATCACTTAAAAAATTCGACTTCCTAGTCCTCCCAATGTATGTAGAAAGATAAAGTACTTTCTGAATGAAGCTCTCTAAGAGCACACAATTTTATTTTTTTTTTTTCCAAACACCTAATACTCAGAGACTTAAAACCTGGCTCTGCCCCACCTGACCCCTTCTCCTCAAAGAAGATCCACAGGCAGTACAACAGCAGAAGGGCCAGAAGCCCTCAAGCAAAGCAAGACAGCCTTGGGACTCTTCCCCAGCAAGGCATGGTGCTTGGCTCCTTTAGCAAGGAGTTTTGATTAAGAAGGTGGTTAAGGCCTTTTGTCTTTGGTTAAGACAAATCAGGTAACTTGCTGAACAGTTTAAAGTCAAAGTTCAGAATCTCTGGTAATTTCCTAAAATTCCATATGATTGTTAAATCTGGCCAAAACTTCTGATCTTGCAGTGTAGTAGCAGGGTAAGATGCCCAGGTTTGCTTAGCCTGCTACTACAGACACATCTCTGACAAAGTAACAAATATTTTTTCCCTAGAGTCAGTAAAATAACAGATCTGTATGACCCAAGGGATGAAACTTCTGTCCCTGTTTACTTAAGGGCTAGGCAATGCATATGGTCTCAGGTTTTTTCCCCTTTAATGCAACTACAAGGTGCCTTTTTAAATCACTAACTGCAACCTAATGCAAGTTTCCATATCAACTGATACTTATTTGTACTATTTTAATAAAACGTAATCA